AACAAACAAATCAAAATTACATACTTTTTTAAAGAGGATTGAAGATGCAAAAAATCTGAATGAAGAAGGAAGTTTAGAAAGTGAAGATGATATCCGAATAAATATTGATGATACAGATACTATAGATGATAACCAAAAAAAACGTTCTCGTTTGATTGTACTGACTAGTGACGAGGAAGAAATTTATTAAATTAAGGTCACATATATATTAAATGAAAATAATATTTTCTGCTTTTTTGTTTTTTCGTTCTGTGTTATACATACATTTATATTTTTAACACTAAACCTACCAAGCAGTAATACTGACTGACATGTACTGCTTCACAAAAGTGAGAAGACCGAATTTATTTAGAATTTCTAAAGTTTTTATTATAAAACTTGCTCCAAAATAATGTAACTTATTCAAGCGTTTCCCAAGAAAGAGTCTCGGAACTTTTCAGAATTGCAAAATAAGAAAGCGGTCACTTCGACCGCGGTAGGTTTAGTGTTAATAAAAGAGTTGAGTTGCTTATATATAATTAAAAAGAAAATGTTTCTTTTAATTACATAAAAATCGGCATTTTTTCGGAACCTATCTGGGTTGTAGGAGGGTTACATATAATCGAATGCTCCGATAAGGAAGGATCGACTCACCGATGCGAGGGCGACGTTCAGGAGGACATCGCCGACGTCAGGCGTGTGATGTCCGCCGTGGTATCCGGTGATGTCGAACTGCACCATGGCGGTGCAGGCCTTCCCCGTGAATCCGTGTCCGGTTTTCACGCGCAGGCACTCGTCGTAATTGCCTAGCTGCTTGTAATTGCCCGTGATTACGCCCGATGGAATTTTCACGGACGCGTCGTACACTGGAATCCAGAAGAAAAGAAGGTCTTTGTACTTTCCTCGCAGCTCGCGCCTTCCCCGCGCAGCTCGCACCTTCCCCGCGCGAACATGAAAATGCCAAAGCGTGCGCGGGACTCAAAATACGGGGCGCTTGTTATCATCGGGGAAATCGAGGACAGAAGAACTCCTTGACGCGAACCAACGTCAACCGGTTCGATTTGTTGTCAGGCTTCGGTTGATTGTTAAATGCCAACGCGGCAATACGCGATCCCTCGATCAAGGAATAAGAAGTGTTTTTCGCTGTTTCAGAGGTCGACGTTTCTTGAAATTTCCGTTTATGAAATTTGCATGATCAATATGAGAAATGTGCTATTTTTCTAGCTAAACGTAATCGTCGGTAATCGCTGTTTCGATCCATCCACTTGAAAATCGATATCTTCCCTTTGTGACGACACCATATTCGATACACAATTCTCTGTTCGCAAAATGCATTTATATAAATTAACAAGGTCTAACAGCATTTCCGTTTTCTTTTAACAACGAGTAATCTTTTAACTGGCGAAGGAAGATTTTCTTTAATTCTGTTTCTTTGTAGAATCAGAATAAAAATTTCCATAAAGATCCGCGATCTATTAATTACGTTTATTCGCGACGAAAGAATCGCCGGATCTGAGGGCAATGTTCTCGACACTCGAGCTACAACAATTCCATGAACAACATTGAACTGTGAACGGACGTTGTTGTTGTGTTCCACTACCTAGCGTAAAAGTGCACTGCAGAAGCACGATGGAACGGGGGTAGAAACGATCGCAAACAAGAAGAGGAGAGATCCCAGCCTGTCGAATGAGTCCGCGTAGATTCTCGAACAGCATATCGAGATTTAGAAGATTCCTCGATTTCCCGTTGCTGTCGCTTGAAACAAATAAATCTGTCGACTCGTGCTGTCTGATTTGAAAGCGGGGAGACGCGCGCGGTCGGCTCAATGCCGCGTTGTTGGTCGTGTGCGAACGATTTGCCGATTGCATACACGGAAGTGCATCTTGAGAGGAGATACGCGCGCGGGAACTGCGCGGTTACGCGGATTGTGAAACGGGTCGGTCGATAAGGGCGCACCAGAGAAAAATCTGGCCACGTTATCTCGAGTTTTTCACGAGATGCCAGATAGCGAGGACAAGCCTGTCCGCTGACAATGAGTTCACGCTCGCAAATAACGCCGACGCCCGCGGATCAATCGCAACATCTGCGCCACGATCTTCAAACTTTTCTCCGGAAACACAGCGTCACTCGACGCCCACGACTGAGACCGCAGTGCCAACTAATTAAAACAATTGTACAAGTTCAATCTCAACCCGGGCGCGTGACAATTTCTATTTGGATCGCTCGTGTTATGCATGGTTGATCGTCGAAGCGTCTGCTCGCACGTACCGATCGATCCTCGAGACAACCGGTCGAAGGATTAATCAATCGAGAAAGTTATTACGGGCTTTTGCAGTCCCCGATTCGCAAAAGTACAATATTTGCACGGAACGATTTCTACGCGACGAGTCCTTGAGACGTGGAGAACGTCGACCCGCAGGATCGCGATCGACCTTCGCATAAGGCTCGTGGGATCGATGCAATTTTATTGTTTCTTAGAAGCATTTTTTGCGGGAAATATCTTTCAGCAAGAATACCAGACTTTTTGCACGGTAGACTTTTGATTTCGCCTCGCCTTCTTCCAAGAAGAGTCGCGTTATCGATGAACCTCTCATACTCCCGTAGCTGTTTTTATACAGTAACGATGAATATCCGCGAAGGTATCTTTACGATCTCAACAATGGTGAAATAAAGAGTCGTCCGGTGTTAATCTATTGACAAATCCCTGAGACTGTGGAAGAAAAAAGGGAGACCTCGAGGAACGAGATCGATGGTTGCGCAGATCGTTTCGGAATGCGAATAGGAAAAATAAACGGGATGACGTAGATCGGAGCGGCTCAGATAGGAAGCAAGGGTTAATAACACATCGTACGGGGAATCGGTGATTTATTCAGACGCGCATTTGCAAGGAGCCGGCGCTCTAAGGCCACGAGTTCGTTTGCTCCCCCGCCGGTATCTTCATCGATGACGACGCATCGCCTATCCGGAGCCTTTATTCATCCGGCCTGCTGCTGCCACTTGGAAAATTTTCTACCTAATCGAGCAGCGAGAACATCGGAGAAATCTCTGACATTTGACTCGCCGATCCTTCGCGATTTCGGACCACCGCTTTCGCGCGCTCGCGGCTTATTCCGCTCCCAGTTTTCCTCGTACAGAAATTATTCCACGAGGAAAAGATCGCGTCCGGCAGCGTGGCGGTCGACGATCTTGTAATCAATTTCATTTAATAGACTGGAACTGTCTTGGAACTTGATCTCGCATGTAAATTCCAAGAAATATCGATACTTAAACAATCGTGAGATACGGCGGACTCTAATCACCCCGCGAACGTGGAACAATCGCCGTAGGTTTCGGGATCGAAGACTCACCTTTGCAAAGAGCGCTTAGATTGATCTACGATTTTTCGTCGTTTTATCGGATTTTTTATTGTATTAGGTCGAGTCATGGGATAACTTCCGTTTTCTATCAAACGTTTACTTTATTTTCGTCTATTTATTTTCTGTGTATCTCTATTTCGAACTCTTATCTATTCAACGAAAGCGAAAATTCGTTTGTCCAGATGACTCACAGTGGGTAGATACGAATAATAGATTCTATCTAGTTGCATAGGAACTCGACCTAACGTATTGGTTTTTAGAAATCCTCGAGAGGAAGATCCTAAAGGGAATTTTGGAAATGGCGATCTCCAGCATCCGAGTTGATTTTCATATTTTTACGCTCGATTTACGCGAATTATCATTCGCGTACGATGCACACGACCGGTGAACGTGCTAACAGGTCGTTTAAATCATCTCGAAGGACACGGCAAGAGGCGCCGCGGCCTCGTTGCGAAACCCGAAAATGCATACCCAAAAATAGAGCCGCCATGCCCCGGGCTTTCGCAAGCAGGATTTCTAAACCCGCTGGTCATTTCTCGCGACGTCGGCGAGAGAATCGACCGTTTAACATTCGATCTTCATTCGAACGGAAAAAAGAGAGCTGCATACACGACCAGCCTTGAACCGACCGCGATGACGCGATCCTGAATTTTTTTGCAAGCGGTTACGCAAGGCGATTCCAAGGATGTGGCGCTCGGCTCCGCAGATTTGTTTTTTTCGAAACCCGAGACCAATCGATTTTTTACTAAAAATTCAGTCGACATTGTTTCGAAGCTGCGTGGTAACGCGGTGCATTTTCGCGAAAGTGGGCTGTCGCGAGGCAACTAAAAAAAGCTGGGAAGTTTCAAACGGATTTTCGTGTACGCAGTTATCACTTTCTGCGGTTTGTCCAGACTGTCCAAAAACTGTTCAGACTGCTCTGAAAACATCGAAATTTCGTTTTATGGTTTTATTGCGTCGCTTAATGTATCATCGAATCGCGCCGAGATAAAACGAATCCTTTCCAAATCTCTCCAAATCGCGTGTACTTTCTCGCTGTTATAGTTCGGATAATGCAGGTCCCGCTGCGCCAATTCCAGACATTTTACCGCGACAAACATACGCAAACACGTAGAGCGGGTAATTGCGGGAATAATTGCGAGCGATGTTTTCGAAATTTCAGCGAATTTCGGCGAATAAATGATACAATAGGTTTGGCATCGTCGCCGGTGGGAACAAATGAGCGCAATTACACTCGGAAACACCTTCGAATTGCATTCCGTCGGCAGCGATACAATGTTAATGGTAATTATTCGCGGCGCGGACAATTTAGACTTGCCACGCCGGGAATGCAACCGGCCACGCTGATTGCACGCGCTGGTTGCATTTTATTCCGCGACAGACGCGATAAAGGGCTTCCTGTACGTTTCTCGATTTCAAACGATTTCATATAGAAATCGTTTAGATCAGATTTTAAATAGAAATTACACCAGAAATTGCGATGGTGGACGAAGCTGCAACCATCGTGTTGACTTCAAAGTCGCAGCTTCAAATGGAGGCGCGCAAGTTTCTTCGTTTCAAAAAATCAATCTCTCATCGTGTACAGTANATCTCCAGCATCCGAGTTGATTTTCATATTTTTACGCTCGATTTACGCGAATTATCATTCGCGTACGATGCACACGACCGGTGAACGTGCTAACAGGTCGTTTAAATCATCTCGAAGGACACGGCAAGAGGCGCCGCGGCCTCGTTGCGAAACCCGAAAATGCATACCCAAAAATAGAGCCGCCATGCCCCGGGCTTTCGCAAGCAGGATTTCTAAACCCGCTGGTCATTTCTCGCGACGTCGGCGAGAGAATCGACCGTTTAACATTCGATCTTCATTCGAACGGAAAAAAGAGAGCTGCATACACGACCAGCCTTGAACCGACCGCGATGACGCGATCCTGAATTTTTTTGCAAGCGGTTACGCAAGGCGATTCCAAGGATGTGGCGCTCGGCTCCGCAGATTTGTTTTTTTCGAAACCCGAGACCAATCGATTTTTTACTAAAAATTCAGTCGACATTGTTTCGAAGCTGCGTGGTAACGCGGTGCATTTTCGCGAAAGTGGGCTGTCGCGAGGCAACTAAAAAAAGCTGGGAAGTTTCAAACGGATTTTCGTGTACGCAGTTATCACTTTCTGCGGTTTGTCCAGACTGTCCAAAAACTGTTCAGACTGCTCTGAAAACATCGAAATTTCGTTTTATGGTTTTATTGCGTCGCTTAATGTATCATCGAATCGCGCCGAGATAAAACGAATCCTTTCCAAATCTCTCCAAATCGCGTGTACTTTCTCGCTGTTATAGTTCGGATAATGCAGGTCCCGCTGCGCCAATTCCAGACATTTTACCGCGACAAACATACGCAAACACGTAGAGCGGGTAATTGCGGGAATAATTGCGAGCGATGTTTTCGAAATTTCAGCGAATTTCGGCGAATAAATGATACAATAGGTTTGGCATCGTCGCCGGTGGGAACAAATGAGCGC